AAATAAAAACTAAACTAAAACTAACAAAAATATTAATGAAACGAATAAAAACTAAACTGAATTTTATAGCAAATTTGAAAACTATATTAAAATAAAACGAATTTAAAAATTCAAAACTATAATAACCTTGCTGTGTACAATGATTTATGGAATTCTTGGAGTACCACAAAATTGCCCACCTGCCCTTTTTGCACACCTTGCGCTTTTGATAAACACACACACACACACAAAACTCATACACACACTGCTTTTAAACTGCAGTATCCTAGCAACTAAATGCTGAAGGACTTGTATGTGACAACGAATTTAAAAATTCAAAACTATAATAACCTTGCTGTGTACAATACACAGCAGACGCTTTCATTGTTTCTTATTGATTTATGGAATTCTTGGAGTACCACAAAATTGCCCACCTGCCCTTTTTGCACACCTTGCGCTTTTGATAAACACACACACACACACACAAAACTCATACACACACTGCTTTTAAACTGCAGTATCCTAGCAACTAAATGCTGAAGGACTTGTATGTGACTGCATATGTTTTTAGTGTGTCTGGTGTGGTCACCACATGTGTTTCTTCAGTTAGTGTAGAATATCACTGGATGAATCAGTTTCTGGTTGAACACAATGTTCTGCACAGTCTCAGATTCCACTGGTCATTCAACTCACATCATCTATCTGTTCTCCCTCTTCAAGCTTATTTCCGAAAGGAAAAATATGTTTGAATGTGTGCTGAGATCAAATTCATGCACACACCACACATCTAAATGAGAATGTATCATAGACTTTGTTTGTGTGTTTTTATAGTGTAAAGTTGATTATAATTATTTACATATATATATATATAGTTTTTTTTAGTTTTTGCATTTTTAGAATAAAAAATAAAGTGTTTGCTTTGTATAATTGATTTTCCAGTTGATGCAAATTCTGTCAATTACTAACTTTTATTTATTTATTTATTTTTAATCCAGGTATTATCATCTAGGATGTTAGCTAACTTTTATGGGGATCTATGTGTGATCATCAACCAAATGTGTGTTGATGAGATGATAATTAATGTCTCGCTCCATCTCTCTTTCTCTCTCAGTGTTAAGTATAGGAGAAGGGGGTTTCTGGGAAGGGACGGTGAAAGGAAGAACCGGTTGGTTTCCTGCAGACTGTGTGGAGGAGGTACAGATCAGACAGTTTGATCCTCGACTTGGTAAGAAGTGGCACACAAATACACATTTGCATACTAGGGCTGGGCAATATATTAAATATTTATACTGTATTAGATATTATTCTGTTGGCAATATAAAATCAAACAACATTATGAGAATTGTGATGAATTTCACTTTTTTGCCTTTATAACTGTGCCAGTATACTAGATTTGCACCTGCAACTTGTTTGATTCACTTCTGTGTCAGTTTTATTGAATCAGTTCAAAATGATTCATACTCTAGAATTTTGCTTTAAATTTCCTTAAAATGTGATCATTTATATTATATTGTTGGATTATACTACACTTTTATTGTATTAAATGTTATATTTATATAATGTTATTAGATTTTACTAAATTTTTATTGTATTTTACTGCTTTTCTTATAGTTGCCACAAATATTTTGAATCACCCTTTTTACTTTTACATTTGTGCATTTGGTAAACGCTTTTATATATATATATATATATATATATACATGCCTAAAGCCGTTGTCTCACTTGCATGGTTTTCACATACAGTATGTCTGTAGATCAAAACTCATAATCATATTTGTTCAGATCCACACAAATAGTCCTCTCTCCATGTGTTTTGCTGTCTGTTCGCTCTTCTTCTCTCTCCCCCTCTCTCTCTCATAAATGCTGTTTTTGGAGGTGTTTGTCATTTTTAGGGCCGTGTATTGAGATCAGGCAGGCAGGCCGGTGTCTCTACTAAACATCCCATTTAAATGCATTGTGAGAGTGTGAGAAAGAGAGATGAAAAATTCCCACACACATTTTCTGACTACAAGCATGGCACGAGTCCAATAATTCAAACACGCTCACATAGAGAAATAGGTTAAAGAGGAGCTCAGAGTGATGTATTGCCTCCATCCTTTGAGAGCTTTCTAGAAATGAAAGATCTAATGATGCCAGGAAACCACCGGCGAGTCCCTATAGATGTGTCTCCTGTAGAGCACCAGGGTGTTTTCCCATCAGCAGAGAGATGTTTTATTGCAGACTCCTTCGGTTTTCACAATTTTAAACATGTATGAATTGGCAGATTGATGAGTTTGTTTCTGTTCTGATGCTCTGAAGGAACATGTGTTTAGGATTACTATTTAAAAACCACAGATATAACTACAGGCCTGATGTTTTGGTTAATGTTAGCTTGCCAGCCTGATTCAGGAAAAAAAAAAATTGGAAATGCAGATGTTGGATTTTAATAACATCTTGAGACATCAGCCATCTTTAAAAAAAAAAAGTAGAATATTGTGGCTGTAAAATGTTAAACTGAAAGCTATATGCTAAGTTTATACGCTTGTTTTTATAGAATACGATAATCCCCCCAAAAAACTGCATATTAGAATGATTTCTGAAGGATCATGAAGACTCCTTCGGTTTTCACAATTTTAAACATGTATGAATTGGCAGATTGATGAGTTTGTTTCTGTTCTGATGCTCTGAAGGAACATGTGTTTAGGATTACTATTTAAAAACCACAGATATAACTACAGGCCTGATGTTTTGGTTAATGTTAGCTTGCCAGCCTGATTCAGGAAAAAAAAAAATTGGAAATGCAGATGTTGGATTTTAATAACATCTTGAGACATCAGCCATCTTTAAAAAAAAAAAGTAGAATATTGTAGCTGTAAAATGTTAAACTGAAAGCTATATGCTAAGTTTATACGCTTGTTTTATAGAATACGATAATCCCCCCAAAAAACTGCATATTAGAATGATTTCTGAAGGATCATGTGACACTGAAGATTGGAGTAATTATGCTGAAAATTCAGCTTTGCATCACATGAATACATTACACTTCAAATTATATCCAAATAGAAAAGAGTTATTTTCAATTGTAATAACATTTCAGTTTTTCAGTTTTTACTGTGTTTTTGATCAAATAAATGCAGCATTACTGAGCATGAGAGAATTCTTTCAAAAATATTATACCCACCCCAAACAGTCTGTTTGAACACTAGTGAACATATAAAAGGCTTTGATAATTGTATTCCTTAGTGTGTGTGTGAGAGAGTCCTAAGGCTGATAGTTTCTCCTCTCTCATTTCCTTTAGTTTCAGTAGAAAAGAGCATCGATTCTCCTGAGAACAAAGAATGTAACAACCAGTAAGATCCCTCGAGACCACACTTAATTTGTAATTGGTCTCCTTCTTCCAATTAGAGTAAAATTAACAGTTTCTCTCCTTTTTGCTTCAGATCACATGTGTACACAGACACACACACATTTGCAAACACAGTGCTATTGCATTTTCCAATTTATAACGTCTTTCTAATGGAGGAAGCAGTGTTTGTTTTGCCATCTACATCCTCTTATAATTTTGAAGTATGTGCAGATATAGTGGTTTTCGGTGTATATGGGGCAAATGTACACATACCCTATGGAGTCCCTTTAGAGAGATTTAAACAATAATTTTTTTTCTAATTTAAGAGGGTTTTGTGCATTTAAAACCAACATAGAAAATCTCTGCTAGAAAAAAAAACATTTGTGTAATTGGACCTTTGACTTAGTTATGACTGTGATTCATTACCCATACACCATTTGGACCCAAAATAAGTGCAGAGAAGCATTTCAAATGAGAAGTGTCCTTGTGGTTTTCCACCAAAATAAAAGCCCTTTAAAAAATATTACTATTGTAATTGTACTGCTGTTAAATAATAATAATTATATTATTGTTGTTGTTGTTGTTGTTTATATTACTATGAAATGCTTTAATAGTATTAGTGATATTTCTTTATTGATTTGTTTATCATTAAATTAAATTAAATTAATGTCTTTCCCCAATTTGTTTTACC